GAGCAGGGAGCCCAATGCGGGACTCGATCCCGGGACTCCAGGATCATGACCTGAGCCGAAGGCAGTGGCTTAACCAACTGAGCCACCCAGGCGCCCCAACGATAAGATTTAAAATGTACCAGAACATAGTAAACAAATGGCAGATGGTGAGAGGGAGCTTTCTCAGTTCAGGAGTGAGAGGTTATAGACAAGGGAGAGGAGAACGCTGGAATGATCCACATGGTCATGGATCAGAATTGGAGACAAGCGTATGAACTCACGTTTAGTTTAATGTACATACAGAGAGAAATCATTATAGTTGTATGTATACATACGGGTCAGTATACACACATACGTTTCCCAGCTCTGTCGGCCAAGAGGACCAAGAAACAAAGACATCTCCGTAGCAACAAGCACACTGAGGAACCAGAGCTTGGTTTCCAATGCTACTCTCCAATAAAAGGAACCAGGGTGCCCACGGGAAATGGCTAAATCCAGGGCAGAAAATATACAAGATGAGCCTAATGCATCTTGTAGTGGCCAAAAGTAAGAAAGCGTTCAATCTATCAGTCAACCAAAACATCAACCCCACTGATATCAAAGGGACACAGGAACCAACCAGAAGAGCTCCTCATGGCCTAAGCCAGACCATCTTTAATCTCTACCCACACCGTGGGGCTCAGACTCACAACCCTGAAATCAAGAGTCACACGTTCCACCGACTAAGCCTGCCGGGGGCCCCCTTAAACCTAGAACATCTTGAGCAACAAAATAAATAAGCCGTACTGGACTACAACCCAAGGTTTAAAATAATAGAGTCATGCTGATATAAATGACTAAGTAACAAATAACTGGGCAAAAGGGACAAATCTCTCAAAGGGAAGAATTCCAAATAATTTGTGTACACACTCTGGCCTCAAGGAGGTAAGAGCATACCCGCACTCGGCAGGTGTGGAGGGCATCAGGACCTCCTTACGAAGAGTACAGAACAGGAGGCTGGTGACCTGACCCAACCGGCCAGGTGGTCAAGATCAACATCATCAGCAAGAAAGCACATCGGTAACACGTACCATGAGGGACGCCTGAGCAGCCGACGCTTGATTTCAGCTCAGGTAATGATCTAAGGGTCGTGGGATCAAGTCCCGAGTTGGGCTTCCTCCGATCAGCAGGGAGTCTACATCAGGATTCTCTCTCTCTCCCTCTGCCCCTCCCCACCGCGCTTGCTCTCTCTCTAAAAATAAATACATAATCTTTTTTTTTTTAAATGTACCCTTGATGTGATGTGATGTGATGAAAATGGTATCTTACTCTGTGGTCTTCCTCCCAAAAACCCACAAACCCAGTCCACCCAAGTCCAGTCATGAGGCAAACATCAGATAAATCCCAACTGAGAGATATCCCTCCTCAAAACTACCAAGGTCAGGGCGCCTGGGTGGCTCAGATGGTTAAGCATCTGCCTTCGGCTCAGGTCATGATCCCAGGGTCCTGGGATTGAGTCCCACATCAGGCTCCCTGCTCGGAAGGGGGCCTGCTTCTTCCTCTCCCTCTGCGGCTCTCCCTGCTTGTGCTTTTTCACTCTCTCTGTCAAATAAATAAAGTCTTAAAAAAAAAAAAAAACACTATCAAGGTCATCGGAAACAAGGAAAATCTGAGAAACTAAACTGACAGCCAAGAGGAGACTTAAGGAGCCCTAACTATATGTAACCTGGTTTACTGGGTAAGATCTTGGAACAGAAAAGCGACCTCGGTAGAAAACCCAAGGGAATCTTTTTTATTTTTTTTTTTAAGATTTTATTTATTTATTTGAGAGAGACAGAACGAGAGAGAGAGAGAGCGCACAAGAAGGGGGTAGGGTCAGAGGGAGAAGCAGGTTCCCCACTGAGCAGGGAGCCCGATGCAGGACTCGATCCTGGGACTCCAGGATCATGACCTGAGCCGAAGGCAGTCTCTTAACCAACTGAGCCACCCAGGCACCCAAAAACCCAAGGGAATCTGAACAATGTACAGACTTTAGTTGATAACGACATACCGATATAGATTCATCAACTGTGCCAAAGGCACCATGCTAACATATGATGTTAATAGCAGGGAAAAGCTATCTGTGTGTGTGTGTGTGTGTGTGTGTGCGCGCGTGCGTGCGCAGGAAGTGGGAGGGGTGACATGGGAACACTCTGCACTATCTGCCCAACTTATCCGGAAATCTAAAGCTGCTCTAAAATTAGAAGTTACTTTTAAAAATGTAACAGAAAATGATGGAATGGCTCCTTTGGACTGGATTGCTACCAAAGGTCTCTGGGAGAGGAGGTCTAAGATGAATTGAGAGATAAGAAAGGCAGCCAGACCCAGAGCAGCACGTTCCCGGCAAAGGACACAGGACACACAGGGCCCCCAAGAGGGACCAGAGGGAAAGAAGGTGGGGCAGTTCAAATGGAGTCAGGGAGAGAAATTGGTAGAGTCCAACAGAAGGTCACAGGGTGAATGAAGGCAAATGGGTTGACCCAGGTAGGTAGGCCATAGTGACCTCCAACTTGAGCCGAAGGAAACTGGAAGGTCAGTGGAAGGAGTTCACAAGATGATCAGGATCTGATCTGTCTTCTAGGAGCACCCTCGCTGCTGTAGCGACAGGACCAGAGTGGGACAATGAAACAAGGGACAATGGTCACCCCGGGGGATCATCACTTCAGATGCCACAGTCATTGGGAGATGCAAGCTGGTGAAGAGCTAGGAGCATCCCGGGGGTCTGAAAGAAGACGAGAGGAAGGCTCTCCCACACAGAGTCGGGGGGGCCTGAGCAAAGTGGGCCTCCCGCCCTGATGGATGATCCCTGGGTTTGACCCTTTTGGAAAAGTCTCCACAACGAGGCTACAGGGCATTCCAGGCACTGAGTGCTCAGGAAGGAAGCACCTCCTTGGTGGTAGCTGGAGCCATCGGTTCGATCCCATCCTACATTTACCACCTGTGAGAGGTTGCTAGGCAGAGCCTCAGTGTCCTCATCTGCAAAATGGGAACAACACCTCCCACCTCCTAAGGGGGCTAGAATAATTCAAGAAGAAAAGGCTCCTGATACAAACATGGCCTTTGTAAATACTGTCAGTGAGCATTAGTTCTACAAGAGAAGCCCAAGGTGGAAGGATCTTAGAATCTGACCCAACACCCCATTTTAAAGATAAGAACATGAAGGGACAGAGACAGCGTGCAAATGAGGAGCACAGTGAGGACAAAGACCCCTGTGTCCCATTCTCTGGTGTCTCTGTCCCAAATTCCATTCTGACCACAAGGGGAATGGGACATGCTCCCTCGTCAGCAACTATCTAAAGACCCCTCTTCGGGAAGGTTCTTTCCTTGCTCAAAACTTCCCCGTGGCTCTCCTGATCATTACAGGTGCTGCTGGCCCAGCGGGGGGCAGGGGGTGCTTTGATGAAGAGGCAGTGGCCCTCTGACTAGGCCCACCCTCCCCAAATCCTCAGTCTGCTCCATTGCTCAGGCATACCCCCTCTACCCCCTCCACCCCCAGGCACAGACCACCCACCCTGGCAGCCTGGCCTTCTCACCTAGGGCACCCCACCCACCCGGCCAAACCATGCTGCCCCCCGCCCATCTGTGAGGCCAGGCCCCAACAACAGCCAGAGTCACAGCCCACATTATCTGACCCTCATCTTTGCCCCAAATGACAGGGCTATCTTATAAAAAGCCTCAAAAAGCTTTGTTGTTTTAGATTCCTCTAGGGAGCCAGCCACTTCTTACAATGCTCTCTAGCTGGATTCTAGAAAGATCTAGAATCTTTCTGGCAGTCTGCAATAACCCTTCCCCCAACCCTCCCTATCTCCCCCATAACCCTCAGCTCAGAGCAGACACTCAGTGACTTGTCGAAGGAATACCAGCACCTTGGTACAACCATTAAGCTTGGAAATGAGCATTTTCATCAACCAAAGATGTGGAAAATGCTCCAGTAGCTCATTCCTAAAAACACCCTGAAGGCAAAAACTGAATAACTACTTCCTTCTGGGAAGCCTCCTACAATTTCACACAGACCAAATGAAACGTACCAATCCCACAATTAGAAGATTTTGAGGAGTCTAACGCAGGATTCTGAATTAAAACATCAACTGTGTTTGCTCTAATTTGCTAAATTTTGTCCTAAATGCAAACGCTGGCCCCAGCATTCCAGAAAGTCCTACATTTCCTCTTTATCTCTAACCAAGACCACCGTTTTGCAAGGAGGGCCAACTCTGTTTCATTTCTGTGATTCCAAAGAGGACTGTTATTAAAATCAGAAACCCAGCAGCAACTGGACTCTCTGGTTGCTTCTAGAACATGCTTTATTTAAATGGTGAATTCCTAAAAGTCACCCTGCAGAGAGGCAAGGAGCCACCCTCCCCCTCAGTCATGATACATATGTAAAATTTACTGTTGGGACAATCCCCACCCACCATCCCATAGGTAGTTCTACCTACCCAGACACACAAGGGAAAAGAAATCAAAAGGAGAGGATTTCTCCACAAATTAGGCCCATCCATCAAAGGTTCCTCTCAAAATCAGAGGAGTGTTACAGCCTCGGATCCTACAGCCACACTTCACTACACTACAACAACTAGAAAAAGAAATTCCAATTTCCTCCTCTGCTCTGGAATAGATAATACAAGATTTTTACTCACCTTTGGAGCGAGTAGAGATATCCATGCCCTCTACCACCTCCTGTTCAGTTTTTATTTCCTCTTCGGCCAAGCTGAAACAGAGCAAATTATGTTCACGTTTAGGTAGACTGAGAACTTGCCCCATGGGGGCCGCTATTGAGAAGTTCTAACAACAAATCCACATTGAAACAATCCCCCATCCTTTCTCAGGGCCGGCGGTGGGGGGGGGGGGGAACCCCACACTTGATTTCCAACAATGTGCTAAGTAAGACTCCTAAAGGAGTTTTTCAAACCACTAGGTTGTTCTGTTTTTTAAGTCAAATTACTATTCCAGTTGTCATGCTCCTGGGGGATGCAAAAAAGCACATTTTTAGACACACAATAACAATCTGCCCCCGTGGGCCAATGAGAACCCAGCCAGCAAGTAAATAAGTTTCTCCTTGTTAACACCGGGTTCAGGTTGGAGGTGCTTCGCAGGGTACCCATAGTTCTGATCTCTGAATGCTGCAAGGCAGAGAGCATTTCCCATACCTCCTGGCTAATTCTTACAATTTCCCGATGAGGCAGAAACAGGAAAAATATATATATATAGGTTAAACTGAAAAGTGGGAGAATATGCCCAGGTTAGAAGCAAAAGGCCTGGTCTCAAAACATTCAAACCACGAGCACTTATCCCAGGAATTAGGCCTGGGGTGTCCATACTCCCACCCCCTGGATGTTTCCTCTGTTGCACGCATGGCTTAGAACAAGCATTCAGCACTCTTGAGCTGTGACTAATTATCCCCCACCACAAAAGTGGAATGAGGAAGGCTTATTTAAAAGACAGGCTGAGAGTTGGGGGTTGGGGAGAGAGGGGAGGGGGGCAGCGGGAAACAGGCCCCTTGGCTGGAAAGGTCCACCAGAATCTTCTCTCACTCGGCTGAAACTCCCGTTGAATAGAGTGCAGGCCACTTCATGTGTCCCCCCCCCACACACACACACACACCTCCCAGGCAAGCCAGTAGAGTTCTGCTTTTATAGGTGCAAAATGTTTGAGGTGCTGGAACCTTCCAAGCCTTCAGGCTGAAATGAAGTGATAAGAATATGGGCAAAGTACTCTAGCAGCAACTCCATCAGTCTGTGATTCACCATGAAGAAAATGGGTACATCACCAATTGATATGGCTGGAATTTTCCATTTGGAAGACTCAAAGCCAGGACTGGAGGGACGGCTGAGAGAGAGAGAGGAAGGATTAGAATGTCCCTTCTGTGTTCCGTGGTCCGAGACTGTGACAAGACAAAAGATGAGTCCGAAAAGGCCTGGAACCTCAGGGTCAGAGGGAGATGGCTTTAGGAGAGGGCCATGTCTGATAGGGGAAGAGGACTCAGGATGGGAACCAGACAGAAAGGAAGAAATTATAGCTCAGAATAAAATTAGAAAACTTGCACACGTCAAACGTAACTAGTCCCAGCAGAGAGAAGAAAGAAAGGTAGTTTAAAATTGGAATATTAACACATTTAGCTCTCTGATGTAGAACCCGATTAACAATTTCACTGACACTGCATCCGTGGAGAAAGCTGTGACACCAATCGCCAAAGAAACAACTTGCATTTTGTCACAAACGGTTTCCATCAGAAGCAGACTCTTAAATTTAAACACTTTGCTAACAGACAATATTACAAGGTGATTTGTGGAAGGTGATTTTAGCACGAATACTTTTTACTCCAACTTCAGAGACATTCTCAACTCGGAAACACACTCTGCCTGCAACACACACACACGGTCCAAATGAATACTTGCTGATGGTTTCTTGCCTGGGGTGACTGGAAATACATTTTCATAAAATATATATATATATATATATATCGAGCAGCCCTCAGAGATGGGGAGATGGTCAACTTGAAAAGAACAAATAGCAACCTTGATCTTTCTAGCAACTAGAATTCTGTTTCCCTCTCCGGCATGAAGTATGTGAAATACTAAACTTACTGCAACCGATCCCCTGTTTTGAGGGACAGAGAAAACACGCATCTGGGATCCCACCCAAACGTACAGTGATAAAATAGTTAGGCAGAACAGAGCCCCTAAAACCCACTTGACGGATTTCTGCAGTGATGACAACATTCAAAGGTGTATTGATCATGTAAGACTGCATTCAAGAGAACAATTATTTGGCTTTTGGCAGCCCAAGAGAAGTGGGAGTCCTTCAGGCAGGGATGCTGCTGAGAAGCTAGGGAAATGCAAACTAGTTAGCTGGTGGCTATTTGCTGCTGCAGCAAGAGGGGAGAAAAGTGAAGCGGTTTTATCTTTGCAAGTATTACAAGTGGGCCCCATAATCACCTAACTTTAGCAATAGCACCACCAGCTTCAGCCAAGGATTTGAGCACAATTTCAAAAAACCATCTTTTTTAGCAGATCAGCAAGCCATGCTTTCAAAGGGAACCCGTGCCCGCACATGCCCGCGTGCGCGCACACACACACACACACACACACACACACACACAATAACTTGCATTTGACTAAAGGAAATTGCAGTGTCTATGCGTTAAAAGGGAAAAAACTTCATTTACAAGAGCAAAGACCAGAATGCAAAATGAGTCATTCTGAATAGCCACATCTAAAGGGACTTCCTTTTTTCTACACCACTGATCTCAGTTTTTTTGGTGGTTGTTATGTTGTTTTTTTTTTTGTTTTGTTTTGTTTTTGGTTTAGTGTTAAGCACTAGTATGTTATTAGGGAAAAAATTATCAATATGACATCAAAAGTGGTGGTGAGAAAAGATCTGTACCTGTCTGAATAGCCCCACAGATCGTGGTCAATTTAGGTTAAAAACTGTTCAGTCGTTTGGAGGAGGAAAAAAAAAGTCAAATAACAATAATTGTTAAAAAGAAAAGGCAGCTGCACCTGGAGAAAAGACTCTGAACTCTTGTCCTTAACACATTAAAGTCTTAGAAAATACACAGCATCTTTCCTATCTGCTAGCTTCTAGCAACCCCGATTATTTAAATCAAAAACAATGGAACAACAAGCCCTTGTTTCAAACTGACGTTACTTTTTTTTTTTTAAGGTCCACTGGGGAGGCTGGGGACCAGCTAAAGAAAAGGGTAAAATTAGCTGAAAACCAAACAACAGCCTTTCACTCTAACAAGAAAATACACCATCAACTAGTTGTACACATTGTCTGTTGCCACCGCCACCACCTCTTGCCCTCACATTTACCCTAAGTCACTTGCCTCTGGATTTCACAAACTTGATACGTTTCAGGCAATTGAAGAAGAAATAACAGTATCTGCAAATACAACCAAGACTTTCCCATCCGGTCCCAGAAAGAATAAAAGATTTGTCCCCCCAATGCCTGAGCAAGAAAACCTAGGCTTACTTCTTAACCTGCATGCACTGAAAAAGAGCAATTAAAAGTTGCAGATGAAGTGCTGCACCTCCAGGATGTTTTAAGCCTTCTGATTATTAATTCTGAGGACTCAAGGCTGGTCCGTAATTCCCAGGAATGCCATCCCCTCAACACTTCCAAGAGAGAGAGAAAGAAAAAAACATCTAGTTTTGACAGGAGGAAAAAAAAAAAAAAAAGCCTGGATGCACAATGCCCAGATATTTCTTTTCCCCAAGTGCCCCTACTATTTGACTTTTAACCAAGAATATCTAACCCAGCTAGAATATATAACCAGCATGCACAAGACTCTGGTTCTACAGATGAGGATCATCGCACGGCAATTCAAGAATCATGCATCATTCGCAAAGGACTTTTCCTTTAGCTTTTTACTTTCATTCAAAATACCAAACTGGTCCAGGCTGTAAGAAATATTTAATCCCCAAGACACAACATCTTCCTCTGCTAGATCACAAAAGAGTGAACATCAAAATAAGAAAACCATGCTTCCCTAAATCTGCAATTAATTTTTTTTTTTAAATTGGGGGTGGGGGGAAGGGAATGGTTAGCAGAGCAGCTTTATATAAGCACTCACCTAAAACAGGCAGAGTCATCGGGAGCTAAGCTATTTATGCAGGATTCTTAAAATGGCGTCTGGGAACACTGCCTCATTCCTGTATTGAAGCTAAAATGGTAGCAGGTTGTTCAATAGCTGTAGCTCTTGTGGAAGCAGCCCTGCTTGTTTCAAAGCCACCTTCCTAAATATCAGAACTAGGAAAAGCTCAACCAAAGGACACCAACAACCCAACGTTTAGAAGCTTAAAAAAAAAAAAAAAATCTGCAATGACAGGGGGAGTTTGTGAAGTCACAGGTTCCTGAGGAAAACCCTTTCCCTTTTAGATCCTGAGCCTTTCACAGAAGGCTCTGAGATGAGGCCCCCTTACCCTCAAATTAGGTGGGTGGGAGGTCAGGAATTATGCAGCCCCGTGGCATAAACTGCGGACAGACAGGTGTCTACACAAATGCAAAAATGTTAAAAGGGAGCAAGCTGGGGAGGAGGAGGAAGCCCATTCCCCCTTCTTGATACATTAGAAACCAGCTCTGCATCCCTACCAAAAAGGAGCTAGGTGAAATCAAAGTGTTGCAAGGAGAGCAGCCATCTGAAAAGCCAAGCTAAAGGGCTGCACCCCTGTTCTGAGGCCAAGGTAAAAGAAAAAGGCTGTGCATAAGCCTGAAAACGGCCACCAAATACCCAGCCAGCCCTAAGACAGTTAACCTCCAGGAAAGACAATCTGAGCCTGCAGAGGAGAAACAACAGTAAAACATTCCCTCAGCCAATGCACGGGATACTCACAAATCAGATTTTTGTCCACCCCCAACAGAGCCCTGAAAATTAACAATGGGTTTTGCAAAACCCGCTTTCAGAGGCCGAACTAGCAGCCTCAGAGTGGGTAATGTAATTTACTGTTACAGGTCTGAGAATTGGCCTCCCCACTCTGGTGCTGAGGGGGGGATTTCAAGGTGACTGCTTTTTAGCTCCAGGGGAGAAAGGAGGGCATGGTGCCCAAGGCTGGGCCGGGGCAAGGACGGGAGGTTGGCTCCTCGCCGGCGGGTAGGTAGGTAATCTTGATGAGGAGGGACAGCCTGGCAGCAAAACTAGCCGCACTGCTGACAGGGCTCCCGCCTGCTTGTTTATCTGTAAGGAGAGTGCGGAGTGGGGGGAAGGGCAGCAAAGCCTTAGCAACCTGGAGCCAAGGGTGAATCCTCACTTGTTTTGCATTTAAGATCAAGGGGAAAGGACTGCTAAACAGATTCCCTTACTAAATCTCTGCTGTGGGGTGGCGAGGCCGCTTCTGCAGGTATAGATCTTTTCAGGGTCAACCAGAGGCAAAGCCAGATATAGGGCCTCTCGGCGGACAAATGTTTGTTGCCTCGGCCACAGGAGAGAGGAGGAGAAAAGAAGGCAAAAGAAACAAAGAGATCACACATTGGAAGTGGTTGGACTTTCTAAAAACCTACCTTTGCCTTCAGGGTTTTCTGGGTTAGTGTCATCCTGGCTTTTTAAAATGTGACTCATTGCCCCTCCCCCCCCCCATTTAAGACCTGAAGAAGTTTCCCCACTGTTCTCCCAGGGAAAGAAAAGGGGGAATGTTTTGTTTAAAAGAAAAGGGGTTACAAGAAAGAAAAGGAGAAAAAGAAAGAAAGAAAGAAAAGAAAGAAAAAGCCATTGTTTTCATCCCTAATTTATAATCCAAGAGGCCCCATTGTTTCTTTGACTCAAATCTTTGAGCTGTTAATTATAAAAGTAACTGGACTCAGCTCCAACAGGCGAACTATGTTCATGCGCAACAATTAGAAAAACTCTGTAGAAAGTTTACTGAGTGATTATATATAATTAATTCCTAGTTACTTACAGACAGAACACTGACCATTTTCTGGAGCTAATAAAAGCAGTTACTCCCCCTCCCCCACGTGAATGCCACTTAATTTCCCAAAGCAGAAAAGTGAATCCATCCTGGAGGGTCTTGAAGGAAAAAAAAAAGAGAGAGAGAGAAGAGTCAAAAGCTCCAGTGTGTCTGTGTTTGTTCCTTGCAGCTGTGCATCCTCTTTGGGGACTGAGGAGGCAGAAGGAAAAAGGGAAACAGCCCAAGTTCTGTGCCTCCCTCTGAAATTTATAACTGTGGCAGAAAGATCACTCTACCTTGATGTAAAAAAGAAAAAGGGGGTGGGGGTGGGCGGTGGGGAGGGAATGCCCCAGGACTGGAATGTAGGAGACTCTTCAGCTTGGCGGATAGGCTTCTCCTAAAAGGAACAAAGATGGTAGAAACTTCCAGAAGGCCCCTTCTCAGTCTGGCCACTCCAATTGTCAATCTGTAACCTTTCCTCCAAGTCTATTGGTTCAAAAGCTGGAGAGAGGAGCCCCATTGGGCTGCTCTGTAAGCCAGCACCGCTGTCCCTACCTAATCCTGCTGCAATGCAGACATTTATTTTCCCCCCTTAGTGAAACTGGGAAATAAGCTACTTTGGAAGCAATTAACTTTTTACAGACTCATGCTTGGTGGTGGCCACAGTACCAGAGGAAAGTGGCCAGCTTGGTCCAGGGCTGGGAACTTGCTGGGACTGCACATTTGAAAACAGATCTTGGCTTTGCAAACCTGTGGGAGCCATTTTAATGCAAGCTTTTAGAGGGCAAATGCCTTGCCCTTAGGTTTCCTTCCAGCCCAACAAACACCATTATGCAAACGTTGAAGGCACCAAACCAGGAGTCTTGTGATTAGATATTGCTTCTAGGGAGGCCACAAGAACCTCAATATGTAATTTCCATTTAGAGCCAGGAGATAAGAACAAAGAAAATTGCTAAGTGTCTGGACTGACTTGTGTGGATAGTAGCACTGTTCAGTTTTAAGTACACAACATCATTAACTGCCTGCACTTCTTAACAACTCGAAAAGCTGGCCTCGCACCGACTTTTCTTAACTTAGAATTGGTACATTTCTCGTTATTAAATGAGCCTTTTTCCAACTGATGCTAAAAGGTGGGTGGCTGGACACGAACTTAAAGGAAAAAAGATGACAGACTCCATAAAGTTGGCATAATACAACAACTGAATATATTTCCAGCATTTCCAGTCATGCTAGATTGGTCTCCAGGCTGGAAATTTATGTAGTGAACTTCTGGGCAAATTCTGAAGCTAACGCTAAACAAGCGTCCACTTTTTTTCACTCGCAAGTTCTAGCTACAGCATTAAGAGATCAGGGGAAGTGTAAAAAGTGAGAAATAAATCATAAGTAAAGGCAAGCGTGCATAGAGATGTGTGGGTCAGGCTTGGGAACAGGCCAAATCTGTTTGTTGTGCAGGGAGTCCTGAATCAAACCAAGTTTGGTGGTGGGTGGGATTTTACACTACAAGTATCCTAAATCGGAGAGCTGACACCCCCGCCCCCACACACCACCACCACCACCAGGCTCCTGCCCTCACCAGTGTTTAAGGCTCGGTGACTCTAAGAACAAGCACTTTCGTTACATTTCACAAGCAGATCACCTACCCAGAGTTCTAGCTAATACCCACACAATCCCAATTAAAGGTCTCCAGTCCAGTCACAATGAACTGAACATTTCTCCCCTGTCTGAGGGTAAACAGGAAGTGTGATCTTCAATCCTAGCAGCAGGTTATCAGGAAAAACAGTGGATTCAAACAGTCACCTAAAATCAAGAGACTATTAAAAAGCCCTTATGTGGTTCCTGCTAATGAAAAGCCCCCCTCCCAACTGCTGTAGCCAAGACCCTCTGTTACAAACAGACCCCAAATGTCCGCCAAACTCTTTATACATGGTCACAGAGGAAATGGATTGCTTTACTTACCCAACAAATGTTCAAGCAACCGTCTCATTTTTCCACAGTTAAGAAGAGAGAACAGGCAGGCAGATTTGGGACTTGATCAAAAAGGAAATTTTTTTTTTAAACAGTTACATGGGATTATTAAAAACACACACACAACAACACAACCCAACAACTGAATATGGAATATGCTGTCATGAGCCACAGACATGATTTTATTTCCTCTGTGCTCCATCACACAGGAGGACAGAGGATGATACAATGTAAAAGAGGGAAAAGAAAATGAAAACAAGGATAAAAGATACATTAGTTCATTGAAAATCATGCAAGAGTAGAAAGCTAAGGGATTCAAAAAGAGTCCTCACAGATTTATTGCAGGATGTTGTCCAACCTCCCTCCCCCTCTACACACACACACCCCCCCATCCCCATCCCTACTCCAAAAACTTCCTCCAAAGCCTAGAAAACACTTTCAGAAACATTTGCTGGCTGTAGGCTGGCTTGCAGAAGAACACTCTGTATCAACAGAAGTCAGGAAAAAAGGCTGAACAATGTAGTTTCAAGTGAAGCAGCCCTGTAGGGAGAGAACAGACCATGGAGAGACACCACCACCCACCTAGGCCCCAGGAGCTAGGATCTCTCCTTAGCACTGCTCTGCTGAGGGCTTGGTTCTTTTTAAAACACACGTCCTCTCTTGTCAGAACTTACTCCAGCCTTCCCAGAACCTCTTTGGAGAGGGAAACTTGCCTGCTTTGCTGTCTGCCATGGGCTCTCCTTGGAGAGGAGCCTGCTTGCTTACCTTCCATTTTCTTCCCCCAGCAGGCATGTGACACAGGAGAAGACAATAGTGCAGGGGGGGGGGGAGAACTGCTCAGAGAGAGAGAGACAGGGAGAGAGAGAAAGAGAGAGAGGAGGAAGAAGAAAAAAAAAAAGGAAAAAAAAAAAAAAAAGCTTCTTTTTTGGCATTCCAGGATCTAGCTTCAAACTATTCCAGAAACACCATGTCCTGGTGAAGAAAAGGTGTGCCAGGCCTTTGCTAGTTTGCAAAATCAAGCTATGGCTAATGGCTACTTAGCCATGTGACCCAAGAAAGCAAAAAAAATTCTCTCTAAACAGTTCCAAGTTAACCTAAGTGCTGTGGGGGTGAGTGTGGCACGGCCAGCCACAGAGAAATCACACTGCTCGCCCACAATTCGGATGTCTCAGAGGGAGGGGGAGAAAAGATGGTTAAAAAGTCGAGCTTACCTCTGTGGATGCATTGTTAACACTGTGTAATGTCAATACTTATAAAACATGGAGGACAGGCTCCTAGTTCTCACAGAAAAAGGGTTTGGCACTTCGGCTTGATGATCTGGCCGCCTAATAAAAGCTCATCCCCGATTGGCTGCCCCGGCAAATCGGAGTGTAAGGCCGGCCGGGATTGGCTGAAACACTTCCTGAGCGATTATCTTTGTGAGGCTCTGGTGAGCAAGAGCCATCCTGTGCATAGAAAAAGACAGGCTAAGCTAGGCCTTTTGCAGCGAGAAAAACTTGGGAAAGGGGCCCCCAGACGCACTTCTCCCACACCCTGGCTAGATTTCCCGGCACGGGCAAACCAGTGCAGCCAGCCTGACCTGCTCCAGCAAAGCCTGAGGCCCGGATGCCAAGGGGAAGGGAGTTTTTGGGGTGAGCTGAAAGGGCTCACCCTCACCTGCCCCCACAGAAACGGCTCTTGGCTGGGAGGAAGCCTGGCCCTTTTCTAGAACAATCCAGCAGAGTGGTTCTCCCCCGGAGGGGGGGAGGGGACGGGGCTCGGGGACGGAGTGAAGCCGAGGAGTGGGGAGCCCCAGGAAAACAGCCAAGGGGGGCAGGGAAAAGGGGTTTGAGGAAGGCCTCTGAGGGAGCTGAGGGAAAACAGGACAGACGAGCCCCAAGAAATCGCTACAGGGCAGCCCTGGCTTCTCAGAGGACAGAGGATTCGGGCTGCTGGGAAGAGGAGGGGAGCAGAGTGGTCAAGTTTGCATAGTCATTGTCAAAACGCCTCCTGGAAAAGCAGGCCAGAGAGCCATTTGCCGGCAGAGAATCTAACTTCTCACCCCCCTCAGCCAGTACTCAAAGAAAAACCAAAATGGGTTCCTGCCTCCCTGCCAGGATGCCAACGGGCCCCCCCCCCCCCCCGTCCTTACCCTAAGAAAAGCCAAATGCGCTCCTACCAGGCCACATGCCTAGATCTACAAACTTCCCATCCCCTCCCGGCCCCCTCCCCCACCACTGAGGCCTGCTAAACCTGTCAGTTAAACAAAAATCTGACTTCCGTATTAGTCTGCAATGCCTTCAGCTTCCTGCCTATTAACCCTCTCTCGGACTCTGGGCCTGGCTGGGAAAAACTAGGCCCTGAGATCGCAAAAAAGGCCTGTGGAAAAATACCAGCTGCAGCTCTCCCGGCAGATGCAGAAAGAGAGAGAGAGAGTGAGCCGCTGTCTCTCGCCTTTGCTTCCCAAGGAGGCGTGTACCTTCTGAATCCAGGGCACAGGCAGTGCCTCTCGGTCTGAGAAGCCATTTAAATCCAGAGGGAGAAAGAAAGATGTCAAGCCCAGCAAGGGAACAAGAACCCCCATTATTAGCCAGGCCTACACCCACAGCTTAGCCCTTCCTGCCACAATCACCCCTGTATGTATGTTCTTGGGGAACTGGGCCCTCGGTGGGCAGACAAATCCCATGAGCTTTATAAGGATTCTTGCTTAAATTTATTTCCACAGAGAACGGCTTCTTTTCGTCCCCTAAGGCAGATGGAAGAGCTACTTCACACACAGACCTACTCTTGGCAGCCCCCCACCCCCCATCTCTGGCACTGCTCCCCAGTAAAATATTAACTAGTTTTTTAGAGCTCCTTATAATTCCACCCATTTCAATACTATTAGGAGGTCTTTGCCTGTGTCTTCCCGAAAGCTGCCTTTGTAGTTGGTCTGTACCGAGAAAAGGAAAGACAAATCCAGAAGGATCTTAAAATGTCCATGCTTGCTTGCTTGCTTTTTTTTTTTTTTTTCCCTCAAAGACAAGGTGCTTAATTAACAAGATTTTTTTAAAACAGCAAGCTGTAACAACAGAAGCTAAATAAACACCATTCTTCAGAGGCTGGAGAAAGCTTCCAGAGGTGACGCAGCCATATGCCAGGAGGTAAAACTATGGCCCAATAAAGTCTCCCCTCTCCTCCTAAAATTAGGACTCGTGGGCTTTCTGGTCCCACACCGTTCGTTCCCACAAAGAAAACGTAGAGCTGATCGCCTGCTCTCCCTGCCCCCCCCCCCCCACATGGACAACAGATGCCCACCTTGTGCACATAAAATTCTTCCTGGCTGGGAATCTTATATCAAACAGGAACAAGCCAGGAATCCACACAGACCGTACGGCAGAGGCAGGGCCCAGGCTTTATAAAAAGGGAGGGGATTTTGTTGCTGTTGTGTATTAAGCGGAAGAGGCCCAGATGCAGGGAGGGACACCTCCATCACCCGGCCTGACAAGGGTCCAGCACTCGGGACAACAGGCCTGGGCCTCACTAGAGGGGAGGGGCCCCCTCTTCCTGCGGGTGGAACCGCGTACAGGGAGACCAAGCGGGAAACAAGAGGTGGAGGCCAGAGCTAATCAGATCGTGCTGTCCCTCCTGGTGGCGTGGGCAGTTGCCCTCCCGCCACCATCCCCTAGGGAACACGGTCTACCTCTGCGGGGTGCTGCTTTTGGGGGAACGGACGTGTCTGCGGGTCTGTGGCAAATCTCGTGTGCCACTAGCTTCACGACCCAATGAGGAAATGAAATACGCCACTGGCGCGCATGGTGGATTTTAACCCAGGATTAAAGCTTGTTGCATAAGCAGCTGCAGAGTCCTCCCCGCTTCCCCCACCCCCCTCTGATCACTTGATCACTTGAAATGTTTTCTGGGGCAAAGAGCAGGAAGCTGCCGGCTTATTCTGGCAGCTCTGCTCTGAGGAATGCTATTGGCATTCGGGTAGGTCTGAGGTTATCAAAAACACAGCGATTGGGCTGGGGACAGAGACAAAGGTATGGTGGCAGATGGAATCCGGGGAGGAACAGGGATTGAAAAGGAAGCCCGGGGCAGGCCTACTAAGGGCCAGTTCTGGGCTTGATGGAATGTGGCTGATAAATGGGAAATAAAGAAACCAAATGTTGCCAGCCTCAATCTAGAGATCATTCGGTGGCCCTTCTCAAAACACCCCTTTGCAGAGTAGCCCCAACAGCTCTGGCATGCTTGCCCGGGGCCTGGTACTGTGCTAAATCAGCACTTTGCACTGACTGACTCCATGAGGTAGGGAGCATTGTTAGAGATTTGGAATCCAGCCCAGCGAGGTGAAGTGAGCTGTGCAAGGTCACACAGCTGGCAAGTGCCAGAGACCAGACTTCCAACCCAGTTAGGACTCCGCATCCCTAAACTCGGTACCTTCCCCTGCCTCTAAAGAAAGGGACAAAAGAGAAGCCGAACCAAGCAGAGCAGAAGCAAGGCTAAAATCTACCACGAGCAACTGCAGGATCGGTGTCTTCTTTTAAGGAGATCGACTCCTTTGAGAATCAGTTTTAAGTACTGAATGATGGAGCTGGGAGACCTTCAGCTCGGACTCATTTAAGGCCCAGAGAAAGCTCCTCTCTCCCTACAAGCCTCCAGCAAGATGTTAAGCGGAACACTCTGCCATCTCTAAAATTAGGTTTTTATACTCCTGGAAATCAGTGGTTCTCAATGAGGGGTGGGTTTAGCCCCCCACGGGGGGGGGGGATATGTGGCGATATCCGGAGACTTGGGGGTTTTCACACTTGGGGGGAGAGGTGCTATTGGCATCTAGTGGGTAGAGACCAGGGAACATTGCTAAACATCCTACAGCAAGGAACAGACACCCCACGACAAGGAATTATGCTGTCCAAAATGTCCACAGTGACGAGGTAGGGAAATTAATAAGCAGTGAACTAATAAAAGTAGATTAAAACATGTCTCTCTTAATATTCCCAGGGGATGGAGAGAATCAGGAGACAGAATCAGGCTTACGGAAGCCACACAGAGTGTCTCAGTGATGAAGCTGGTCTCAAAGGAAAGGAAGGGCTGACCCGGCTCCCTTCCCCAGGCAACTTACTGCCGAGGCCTCACTGAAATGGCTCTCCCCTCCTGCGGGCCTGCAGCCAGGCGAGCAGCCGAGCTGCAGCCTCAACAAGCTGCATCCCAAAGATAGCCTGGTCGCGGACTAGGAAAATAAGCACGCTCGGAGTTATCTGCCTCAAGCTAGCAGTAGGCCGCTGGGGCCGTTATGTGAACGGGCGGGATGGAGGCAGGGAAGTGTTTTAAATATCTTGTTTTGTTTTGTTCCTTTTTGGCCAATTGGAACCGAGGCCAACTTCGGGCATGGTGACAGAAGGGCTCACCTTCAGAGCATGGAGCTGACCGAGGCATGTTACAGCCACAAAGAGGTAATTAGGACTTGTCCCTACCTTAGAGAAGAGGTGCCCTCTGGAAGGTCTTTTTTTTTTTTTTTCTTTTTAAACTTCTTCCTAGGAGGGGTTGGTAGGATCAAAAAAATGGAGGGAGGAGGGAAGGGCAGGGGGAAAGGGGGGGTGCGGGGTACATGACCACCAGGCAGATGGCCGCAGTGTGGGTGCAGAGAGACTTAAGGGATGCAGGAAGAAAATGAAAATCAGAAGGAAGAAGATTCAGGACCTCCCTTTATCTGCTCTTTTTACTTCCTAGCAATTACCATTATGGGAAGAAGAGCATGTATTTATCTGCTGTTTGTTTCTTTGTCCCACTAGACCAGTGGCAATGTCAGGAGACATTTTAGGTTGTCCTACCTGGAGGAAGGAGGATGCTGTTGGTATCTAGAGGGTACAGACCAGGGATGGTGCTAAACACTTTACCAAACACAGTACAGCCATCCCCCCCCACCCCCGAAAACTAGCCAGCCCCAAGTATCACTAGCACCGAGGCTAAGAAATCCTGCCCTAAACTGAGAACTTTAACAAGGCAGAGCCTGGTCTGAATTCCTCACCTTTGTGCCTGACAAGTGTCAGAGCTCAGTTAAAGACCACCTCCCACCCGGACAGGTGCACTCGTCTCCTACCTGAGCCCCCCTATCTGCCCTTGCAAATGCTTTCGGGGACAGGGGAGTTAGACTAGGAAGAAACCGGGGATTTAAACACACACACACACACAAACAGGCTGCAAGCAATCCTCTGAAGCCAGACCTCATCCCTCCTCTGCTCAAAACCCATTATTGATTCCCACCTTGTTCAGAGCAAAAAGCCCAGTGCTAAAAATGGTCCACCGGATCAGTGCCTTGGTCCTGATCCCTGACTCCACTCGTGTCCTTCTCCGCTCCCAGGGTTCACTCTGCTCACTCTGCTCCCGCCACCCTGATCCTCCCATCTGTTCTTTCCACCTTCTAACCATCCCCTCCCTCCTCCAGCCCTTTCCCCTTGGTCGCCTACTTCCCCTCCCCCCAGACCATCTCCCCTGCTCCCCGAACCACCTAACACAAACCCAGTTCCCTCCTGGGCCTCCACATATCTATCTGCCTTCCCGCCTTCTCTTCTGCCATCACCATGCCCCCTCCCCGCTCCCCACGCCCTCCCCGATGCCTCCCCCTCAGAGCCCTCTTCTTCCACGTTAACCTTTTCCCTTTCTTTCCACATCAAGAGGCAGAACCGTGCTGTGATTGAGTGCTGTGATTGAGTGCGTGGCTGTTGGTGTCAGATTGTCTGACGTCTGGGTGTGAATCCAGCTGCCCCATTAGCCAGCTGGGCAGCCTTGCCTGAGGTACGAAATTCGCTGTGCCTTGATTTCCTCATCTGTACGACGGGGGCAATAATAATACCCACCCGGAAATTCACTGGATCAGGGAAGGGAGGTCAAGCACTAGAGCCACACAACGCACAGTGAGGACTCATGCAGTCGCTGTTACGATGTCCCTCTGTTTGCTCTTAGGAAATTTCTGGATCCTTCCAAGTCATTTTTCTTCCTTTTTTCAACATCAAACTTTCCAAAGGAGGACAAGGATAAATCCCGCTAGCTGGCATGCTCCAAGCATTGTGTCAGGGGCTGTTCTGAGCAGTTTACATAAACTAATCAATTGCCCTCCCAAACCTGTGAGATGGGCGCCATATAATCATCAACCCATTTCCTAGATGAGGAAGCTGAGGAACTATCAATAGTCCCCTCCTGCTAAGAAAACTTCTCGGGC